GAATAAATATGAGTGCTGACCTGCAAATGGTGTTTCACTTATGGTAATCCAAAGATTATGCAAATCTACATAATATCCGGTTGTAGCGTTCTATTATATTTTTCTAGAAGCGATTCCAGGTCTTCCGCAATTGAAGGAAGCGAACTTACTATCTTCTTTTCTATCTAGAATTGATTTTATTGTCAATATTTCCATATCAATAGGTAAAATAAACCAGGAAAAAAATAAAAGTGGAACCTTTTCCCAAATCCATTCCATTGTCGACCATTCTTTATCAGTATACAGGCACTTTATCGGATCATATAAATTGCGTTCTGGTAGGAATATGATCCGGTATCTTGCAATACTGCTTTTACTGTCTTGATAATCACATCTTTTGAAATCTGTGATATAGAAAAGGTTTTTTGAATAGTGAACAGTAATTAAATGTAAAAAGATAAAATTTTCAGACCTCAGCTAGTGATAATTCTTGTGAATATGAGTTTTCCACATCATTAAAATCTAGCGAATCTACATTAATTTCACTCGTTTCTTGTAAAAGCGGAGGTGAGATCATAGTGTGAGCAGGGAAATATTGATCAATTTTTGTCCGCTTTGAACATTCGCCATTATCCTAATATTAATTTGTAATTCATTAACATAAAAAAAGAACAATCACGACAGACATCCCTACAACAAATGCAAATTAACATTTCTAGTTAAAGCATGCTCATCTTTACCTCTGCTTGATTATTCCTCTTTACATTGAACGCATCTCCAGTTATGGTCTCATTTACATTATTCTTTGTCCCATTCAGAATTCCACTTACAATTGGATGATTAATATAAATCTGTGTACATGAACACGTATTATTCCAGTTTTTTGCTCGCTTTTTATCGGGTTGATTTCCCTAAAATAATAAGGTTGTAAATTAGTAAATTTCATTTTGCTATCAGACAACCCCGAAGGCATCTATGGCTAACAGTGTCAGTAGACCCAAAGTCTTTTAAACATCAGGCAACCCCAAAGGCACCTGTGCCCCAACACTGTTTTCGTAGCTCATCTCGAAGACTTCATTTTGCCATCAGACAACCCCAAAGGCATCTATGGTTATAACAGTGTCAGTAGACCCAAAGTCTTTTAAGCATCAGGCAACCCCAAAGGCACCTGTGCCCCAACACTGTTTTCGTGGCTCATCCCGAAGACTTGAATGATAGGCATCCCAAAGATCCCTACCACGCCACCTATCCTCGATACGCGAAAACGCTAGTACTTGCCTGCCTGTATCGTTTTAGGAGTTCTATTGCTTTTTTATGACTTTGATCATTCTTCGTATCAGCGATTAACTCGAGTGACGTTAGGTAACACTCTATTTTTTTCATATAAGGTTCCAGACTACATTTATTGAGGAATCCAATTATGTCCCGGCCTGACACTTTAGTTTGTTCGAAATATTCATGCATCTATTTTTTTGGAAATGAACAAGAAGCTGAGATAATAGATAAATGAAGTTTACGCGCATTAACTTTCGTACCATTTTAAATGTAGACACGATTATAGTTGAGTGATATCAGTGGTTTGTTAACAAAATACTTTCATACCAAGAAGCGCGTATTCATTGTGAATATTTATAATAGTGTGAAATTATAATAATACATATGTGATACAAGTAATCAGCTGACCAAAACATCGGCTAATCAGCTTATACGTATTATACTGTGAAACGTGAAAGTTACTCCGGAGACACGTGAGGGTCGGAGGTCATAGTGCTGCAGTATCTGCATGCGGGCATGCAGATCTCTAACCCTTAATAGACTTCCCGGGGATAAAAGAGCTAAAACTCTTTTCGGTAATAAAAGATATAAGG